AGGTCCGCACTAGATATTGGAGTTCCTGGATATCTGGTGAAAAATGGGTTACAGGACTCAGGACTGTTGGCTGAGCAACCAGGGCCAGCAGCTGCAGAACTACTGGAAGAAAAGGTGTTTACCCTTCGCAGATACACAGTGATGGAAAACAAAGAAATAATGATCTGTTACTACAGATCAAGTCCAACAAGAAGAGGATATCTAAAACTAATGCACCAGTTCTGGAAAGAACAACATCCAGAATCAGAAATAACAGAACAGAGACTAGCAGATCAACGCCGATTTATAATACTAAATAAAGTATTCACAGAAACAGAATTGGATGAACTGCAAAGGTTTACCCAGGGCAAAGAAATCAAAGCCTTACAAGAAGTAATTCAGAATGTAGAGGCAAACCAGGGGGAGTTGGCCGTGAAAGAATCCAGTAGAGATATACAACTGTTCTCATTTGGAAACCAGGCACCTCTTCCTCAGGAAGAACAAAACCCTCTAACTAAAGAAATAAAAGAATTGAAACAAAGAATAACTGAGCATCGAGAACAGCACAAAAACAACAGAATAAGGCTGCCTGCATTGAAGCTTGTTTCAAAGAAACAGCTAGCACAAGCATTAAAAGATGCAAATACTGCAATAGCAAGTATAAGCACCAATTCACTGCAAGAAACAAACCAACTAATGTACATCACAGCTGCAGTTATAACAGAATACCTGGGATGTAAAATCAACAAAAAAGAAAAACAAACAAACAGTGCACCACAAAAATGGAAGTTTAGACTAGAAAATAAGATCAGCAAGTTAAGATCACATGCAAGCAAGCTAGAACAGATGAAAGAAAAGAAGCTGAAGAACAAGAAGACCAAAGAATACCTAATCAAGAAATACCACTTAGGAACAAGGAAGATCAAGGAAGCACTGGAAATAATAAAGCAACAAATAACAGCTATAGCCAGGAAAAGCAGTAGATATGAAGCTCGAATTGCAAACTATAGGCAGAACCTCCAATTTCAATCCAATCAGAAACGTTTCTACCAATCCATCAATGGAGAAACTGCAAGGAATCAGTCAGTACCTGACAAGGAAAAACAGTGCAGTTCTGGAAGCAGATATGGGATAACCCAAAGAAATACAACAAGGATGCGGCTTGGTTAAAAGAGGTGGATGCAAATAAAACAGAAGTTGAAATGAAAGAACTAGTAATAACAACAAATAGATAGCAAAAAGAGCAAAGAAAATCAAAATGGTCACACCACAGGAAGATAACTGCTGGGTTTTTGGTTGAAACATCTAACTGTTAACCACCGCCTCACTCATTGACACCGTTCACAATATACTACAAGGAGGAGAAATTGAAAAGTGCTAACAACTGACTGGGAAAACCTACGCTAGTAATGAAATCCAGCAAAAGGGGCACACCAGTACTACAGGCCAATTAACCTGCTACCAACAATTTTCCAATTACTAACTTGTTTGGTAGCTGTCGTCACACAGCATCTAGTTGAAAACAATCTCTTTCCACCTGAGCAGAAAGGAAACCGCCCCAATAGCAGAGGAACAAAAGATCAACTCCTAATAGACAAATTGATCTTGGAAAACTGCAAGAGAAGGAAGACCAACCTGAATGTGGCATGGATTGACTACAAAAAGGCATTTGACTCTCTGCCACATGATTGGATGATCAAGTGCCTAGAAATAACAGGAGTCAGTAGAAACATCAGAAAATTTGTGCAAAAATCGATGGCACAATGGAAGACACAGTTGCAGATCAATTGAAAGCTGGGAGAAAAGGGGGTGTTTTTTTTAATATCAAGGAGAATTTCAAGGAGATTCATTATCACCATTCTATTTGTTTATTGCACTGTTCTCTGTCAAGATACTGGTCACTCAGGACATGGCTATCAAACATCAAAAACATCTGCCAGACTATCCCACCTCCTTTATATGGATGATCTGAATCTGTATGGAAAAACATCATCTGAAATAGAATCGCTGCTCAACACTGTCTGTATATATAGCCAAGATATTGTAATGGAGTTTGGCTTGGACAAATGTGCCACGCTTACTATCAAACAAGGAAAAATAATGAAAACTGAAGGAATCAAGATGCCCCACGAAAATAACATTAAGAGTCTGGATGAGGAAGAGTACTACAAATACTTTGGTATCCTTCAAGCTGACAACATCAATCACACTGAAGTCAAGAAAAAGATTAGAGGTGAATACATCAAGAGAGTGAAGAAGATCTTAAAGTCCAAACTCAATGGAGGAAATACCATAAGGGCAATCAACACCTGGGCAATCCCAGTCATTATGTACACAGCTGGAATAGTGGACTGGACTCAAGCAGAACTAAAAGCAATGGATAGGCAGACCAGAAAAATAATGACAATGAATCATGCCCTTCATCCACGCAGTGACATTGATAGACTTTATCTACCAAGGCAAATAGGTGGGCGTGGAATGCTACACGTACATCAGATGGTTGAAGAAGAAAAAATGGCTTTGGAAGAATATCTGAAGAACAATGATGAAGATGCACTGAAATTAGTATATCATGAAGGCTTACTAACTACTGGAGAGACCAAACTGGCCTTCAAGAAAGACCAAATGAAGAACAGAATAGAGGCATGGGAAGACAAAGCACTACATGGCCAATACGTTAAAAAAATAGCTGGGAAAGCAGATAATAACAAGACCTGGCAATGGCTAAGAGCAGGAAAATTGAAGAAAGAGACCGAGGACTAATTCTGGCTGCACAAGACCAAGCCTTAAGGACAAATGCATATAAAGTCAAAATTGAGAAGACAGCAACAGACAGTAAGTGCTGCCTATGCAAAGAAGCTGAAGAAACAGTGGACCACCTGGTAAGCTGTTGCAAGAAGATTGCACAGACTGACTACAAGCAGCGGCATGACAAAGTATCAACAATGGTGCATTGGAAGATCTGCAAAAAATAACATTTGCCTGTAAGCGAAAACTGGTGGGATCATAAAATAGAGAAAGTCATAGAAAATGATAAAATTAAACTGCTCTGGGACTTCAGAATTCAAACAGACAAGCACCTGCAACATAACACCCCAGACATAACAATTGTCGATAAGAAAGACAAAAAAGTCTGGATAGTGGACGTGGCAGTGCCTGGAGACAGCAGAATAGATGAGAAAGAACTGGAGAAGATCACAAAATACAAAGACCTACAATAGAAATAGAAAGACTGTGGCAATAGCAAGCAAGGGTAGTACCATAGTCCTATAGCTCCCTTGGCGTGCAATCCCAAAACAGACTGGATCACCACTTGAAACACAATTGTCATTGACGAATTCAGCTATTAGTCAATTGCAAAAGGCGGCCTTATTAGGAAACTGCTTCCATCCTGCGACGATATCTGTAATACCATCAAACAGCCACATCTGCCTATCCCAGGTCCTGGGTAAGGACTCGATAGGTAGACAAAATGCCAAATCCAGTCTGAACATCTGGCTGACTGTGCGATGAGCCATAATAATAATAATAAGTATAATAATCATAATAAATAATAATTAATAATAATAATAATAATTAAGAATAGTGATAGCTCCTTGGGTGCAATCCCAAAACAACTGGAGTACCACTTGAACACCATTGGCATTGACAAATTCGCTATTAGTCAATTGCAAAAGGCGGCCTTACTAGGAACTGCTTCCATCCTGCGACGATACCTGTAATACCATCAAACATCCACATCTGCCTATCCCAGGTCCTGGGTAAGGACTCGATAGGTAGACAAAATGCCAAACATCTGGCTGACTGTGCGATGATCCATAATAATAATAAAGTTGGAAGGGACCTTGGTGGTCATCTAATCCAACCCCCTGCTCAGGCAGGAAACCCTATACCATTTTGGAAAAATGGCTGTCCAGTCTCTTCTTAAAAACTTCCAGTGTTGGAGCATTCACCGCTTCTGGAGGCAGGTTGTTCCACTGGTTAATTGTTCTAACTGTCAGAAAATTTCTCCTTAGTTCTAAGTTGCTTCTTGTCCTGCCTTCAGGGGCTTTGGAGAATAGCTTGACTCCCTCTTCTTTGGGGCAATCCTTGAGATATTAGAACTCTGCTGTCATGTCCCCTATATGCTTTAGCCTCTAGTCCCCTGATCATCTTTGTTGCTCTTCTCTGCACTCTTTCTAGAGTCTCAACATCTTTTTTACATCGTGGTGACCAGAACTGGATGCCGTATTCTAAGTGTGGCCTTACCAAGGCCTTGTAAAGTGGTATTAACATTTCCCGTGATCATGCAGTTGCAACATTTCGCACTGTGTCAGTCAGGGGGGTATGGGTTAGTCCTCAACTTAGGATTACAATTCAGCCCAAAATTGCTCTTGCTAAGCGAGACAGTTATTTGGTGAGTTTTGCCCCATTTTATGACCTTTCCTATCAACATCTGTTAAGTGAATCACTGCAGCTGTTAAGTTAGTAACATTCTGGGAGTTAAAGTCCATGAGTCATAAAAGAGCCAAGGTTGCCTACCCCTGGCCTACACTAGCAATAAGCCTAGCTTGATTTTTGGGGGTGGGCCTAACATAAGACCTATCCCAAAAATAAGCCCTAGTTTTGAGGCGAGGCACACACCTAAAAATCAAGCTGGGGTGAGGGTGTGGAGCTGCCCCACCCGCCCCGCACCCGCTTTCCTTGCAGCCAGGCCTATCCTCCCTGGCCCACTTCTTCTTCTGAAGCCTCTTCTGCAGCCAGGCGTGCATTTCTCAGTCACAGGGCTTTCCGAAAGGCCTGTGCAGCCGAGAACTGAGCTATGGATTCAATCCAAAGCTCGGTTCTGCAAGACCTCAGCAGCCGAGCACTGAGCTATGGATTGAATCCACAGCTCGGTACTCGGCTGCCTAGACCTTCTGGAAAGGCCTGACTGTAAAATGCAGGCCCGAATGCAGCTGCAGAACTTCGGCCCCTGAGGAAGTGAACCGGCTGGGTGGCGCTGTCAGTGCTGGAGGTGATGTAAGGTCTCCCCTGAAAATAAGACCTGCTGCTTCTTTTGGAGACAAAAATAAATAAATAAAATAAGACCTGGTCTTATTTGGGGGAAAACATAGTAGCTGTACACCTCTATTCACTTCTTTTCCCCCCTGGCCCTCTATTCCACGCCCCCCCCGTTTGTGTCACCTCAGGTGCCCGCCTCTGATGGATATCACTCTGCATATGCTGAATGGCTACCTGCTGGCTTCCAAAGCCTACCTGAGCGCTCACCTGAAAGAAACAGCAGATCAGGACGTCAGGCCTTTGCAAAACAACGCAATGGGTTTGGAAGCCCCGGAAGTGACGCGGGACGAACTGAAAAACGCCTTGCTAGCAGCCCAGGTAATTTTGCAAATATTCAGCTCTCGAAACGGCCAGTTTTCAACAGCTTAGCTTCAACAGCAGGTGTTATGGTTCCGGTTAATGAAACATTTCAAAGAACTTCCAGGCATTTATTTTCCTAAAAGTCTTTTACTATTACAAAATGTCGGCACAGGCACAATGGAGGGATGCTAGGATCTAAGTTCTCTTCCTCTGAGCCAATTAGCCGTCATATCTCACATTATCCAATTAGTGTGAAGGTCAAAGGTTTTCTTCCTCTTTCTTTCCCGGGCTTTACCCCCATCCCCCTTCTGCTCTGTATTAACCCCATAATTACCAGACAATTTTGCATATTGTCAAAAGCAAGAATATACAATATTTGCAGCGTTGACATCAGGCTGGCTGAGAGTAGCTGGGCCTTAAGCTGAGCTTTCAACATGCCTGCCGCCCTCTTGCAGTTTGCACCATTGAAACTGACACGATATGTACATATCGTCCTCAGCTTTACAACAGTTCATTTAGTGACCGTTCGAAGATACAACGGCCCTGGGAAAAAAGTGGCCCAGGTTTTTCACACTTTTTTTTCATACTTCGGACCATTGCAGCACTCCCATACTCACCTGATTAAAATTCAGATGCTTGGCAGATGACTCAAATTTACGACGGTTGCAATGTCCTGGGGGGGTGTTCATGTGATCCCCTTTCGCGACCAAAGTCAATGGGGAGGCCAGTTTCACTTAACGATCGTGTTACTAATGAACCAATGATTAAGAAGGGATTTTGTTTAACCGCCGGGTGGCTAACTTAGCTCCTGCCGTGATTCACTTTGCAACTGGGGCAGGAAAGGTCGTAAAACGGGGCAAAACTCGCTTACCCACTATCGTGCTTAGCAACAGAAACTTACGAGGTTGTAAGTGGAGGACTACCTGAATTATGGGGTTAATGCAGCTCCTGGTGGTTGGCTTCTGGCTGCCAGCGCAGAATTCAGTGGGCCATTTATCCTTTGCGCTTTCTGTCTCTGCACAAAAGGCTGCCAACTTGCGTCCCACCTGCCTTCACCAGAGAGAGTTGCAGAATTTGGTCTTTAAATGTGACCTTTTGGTGCGCCAGGCAAAGTTCAGCACATTCTTACTGGCTGAAATGAGGGATCCTTGGTGGTCTCTGTGCTCCTCTGGATGCTGGTGGGGAAGTGTTTTTGGTCTTTTTGTTCCCTTTCTGGCTTGTTGATTGTGTCTTTTGCGTAGTGTGTAAATATTGTTTATATCTATGTGTCTGTTGAAGGCTAATTTGTTGAGAGTGCCAAGCTTCTAGAAATTCCCTAGCACCCAGATGAGCCTAGATCAGTGGTTCTCAACCTTTTTAATGCCGCGACCCCCAACCGGTCGTAAGTCGAAGACTACTCAACCGGTCGTAAGTCGAGGACTACTCAACTGGTGCAGCACCATTTGCAGAATTGGACTTTTGGCGGGCTCAGCAGGGCAGAGACAGCCTGGACAATTCCTATTGGCTTTTGAAAGCCAATAGAATTAGACACTATTCAAGAGAGTCTATTCTATTGGCTTTCAAAAGCCAATAGAATAAAAGGGAGTAGCACAGCTAAGGAAAAGGGGGAAAAAATGGCGGACTGCGTTGTTTGGCAACCCCCATGAAATGGTCGTTCGACCCCAAATGGGGTCCCGACCCACAAGTTGAGAACCACTGGCCTAGATTAACTCCCCAAGATTAGCACCAGACTAGCAGTCAAGAAGTAGAACAACTTGACTCCAGAAGTTGTGAATGCTCCAACACTGGAGGTTTTAAAGAAGAGATCGGACAACCATTTGTCTGAATGAGGTTTCCTGCCTGAGTAGGGGGTTGGACTAGAAGACCTCCAAGGTCCCTTCCAGCTTCTATCCTATCCTATCCTATCCTATCCTATCCTATCCTATCCTATCCTATTCTTCTATTCCTCAAGTAAACAATATCTCCATCAAGGAACTGCCAAACATGCTTACACTAAAGACCCGAACCAAAGAACCTCCAAGACCATCCCCCCAACACTGAGAGAGCAAGCCACTAGAATATAAAATGAGTGCAAACCCCGCTCCCTACTAGCACTGATGATGTTACCTAATTTGGGTAGTGAAACGTCTGCAAGAAAACAAGTTCAGGCCTTTATTACTTTATAAGTATCTTAAGACGGCAAACATAATTAATATCCTTCTTCCTCCATTTTCCCTACAACAATTCAGTGAATTGGGTTGCGCTGAGAGAGAGCAGTTGGCCCAAGTCACCCAGTTGGCTTTCATGCCTACGGTGGAACTAGAACACACCCTCGCCTGGCAATTGACCCAAAGTCCCCCATCTGGCTTTCATGCCTAAGGCGGAACTAGAACTCACCATCTCCTGGTGATTGGCTCAAGTCACTTAGCCGGCTTTCATGCCTAAGGCGGAACTAGAACTCACCCTCTCCTAGCGATTGATCCAAAGTCACCCATCTGGCTTTCATGCCTTAAGGCGGAACTAGAACTCACCGTCTCCTGGTGATTGGCCCAAAATCACCCATCTGGCTTTCATGCCTAAAGCGGAACTAGAATTCACCATCTCCTGGTGATTGGCCCAAGTCGCTTAGCCGGCTTTCATGCCTAAGGCAGAACTAGAACTCGCTGTCTTCTGATGATTGACCCAAAGTCACCCATCTGGCTTTCATGCCTAAGGTGGAACTAGAACTCACTGTCTCCTGGCGGTAAACCCAAAGTCACCCATCTGGCTTTCATGCCCAAGGCGGAACTAGAACTCACCGTCTCCTGGTGATTGGCTCAAGTCACTTAGCCGGCTTTCATGCCTAAGGCGGAACTAGAACTCACCCTCTCCTAGCGATTGATCCAAAGTCACCCATCTGGCTTTCATGCCTTAAGGCGGAACTAGAACTCACCGTCTCCTGGTGATTGGCCCAAAAATCACCCATCTGGTTTTCATGCCTAAGGCGGAACTAGAACTCACCCTCTCCTGGTGATTGGCCCAAGTCACTTAGCTGGCTTTCATGCCTAAGGCAGAACTAGAACTCGCTGTCTTCTGATGATTGACCCAAAGTCCCCCATCTGGCTTTCATGCCTAAGGTGGAACTAGAACTCATCCTCTCCTGGCGATTGACCCAAAGTCACCCATCTGGCTTTCATGCCTAAGGCGGAACTAGAACTCACCATCTCCTGACTTGCCTTCTTCCAGGATAGCGCTGCGGTGCAGATCCTTCTGGAGGTTTGCTTGCCTTTGGAAGAAGAAACCTCTCCAGGTAGCAGGTCCAGCAGATTGCTGATGAGCCAGCTGGGAACCGCTGAACGCAGTCCTCAAAACATGCAACCCAAGGAGAAAGAACGGGAAGAGGAGGAGAAGGAAGATGGAGAGGGGGAGGGAGTAGAAGACAGCCTTCTCTGCAACCTGCGGGAAGTCCAGTGTCTGGTCTGCTGTCTGGTGCACCAGATGTTCATCGCCGATCCCAACATCGCTAAGCTAGTTCACTTCCAGGTGTGTGTTGGCTGTTTTGCAAGAGGCCCTTTGGAGAGGTTGGGTCTTTCCTGGCTTCTTTCACACTTGACCTTGAGGTGCCTTCAATTACCGTGTTTCCCAGAATATAAGACCCAACTGGAAAATAAGCTCCAGCACATGGTTCTCAACCTTTTTAATGCCATGACCCCCAACCGGTTGTAAGTCGAGGACTAAACCAGTTGTAAGTCGAGGACTAAACCAGTCGTAAGTCGAGGGCTACCCAACCGGTCGTAGGTCGAGGACTTTCCCTGTCTGGGAGCGCCACGCATGCGTGGTGCCACCCCCTGCGCCAGCCAAAGCGTAGCTGGCAAGCGGCAGAGACAGAGCAGGCCGACCTCCGGCTGAGCCACCAGCTGGCCCAGCCCAAGGGAGGTAAGGCACCCGCTGGAAAAGGGGAAAAGGCGGACAGCCTTGCTTGGCGACCCCTGTGAAATGGTCGATCGACCCCAAATGGGGGGTCACGACCCATAGGTTGAGAACTGCTGCTCCAGCATGATTTTTCAGGATGCGTGTAATATAAGCCCCACCCTCAAAATAAGCCCCAGTTAAGATCTTCAGCATTTAGTATTTTCCCGAATATAAACCCTAGCCGTAAAATAAGCCCTCATGCTTTTGGAGCAAAAATTAAGACCCGGGGAAACACGGTAAATATGTCAGATAATTACAGGTAATCCTCAGGTTATAACAATTATGGAGCTTGCCCATGACGGTCATAGGTTGTAGCAGTTGTCAAATGGGATAGGTGACCACATAGAAGAGGGAGTCAAGCTGTTCTCCAAAGCGCCTGAGGGCAGGACAAGAAGCAACGGATGGAAACTAATCAAGGAGAGAAGCAACCTAGAACTAAGGAGAAACTTCCTGACAGTTAGAACAATTAACCAGTGGAACAACCTGCCTCCAGAAGTGGTGAATGCTCCAACACTGCAAGTTTTTAAGAAGAGACTGGACAGCCATTTGTCTGAAATGGTATAGGGCAGTGATGGCGAACCTTTTAGAGACCAAGTGCCCAAACTGCCACCCAAAACCCACTTATGCATCATCGGGGGTCGGGTGGGTGTGGCCATTGGGTGGGTGTGGCCCATTGGGTGGGCGTGGCTGCGGTGTAACGGCAGACTGGGTGGGACTAAAAAGTTCAATCAATTCCAACTTTGCAAGATCTTTTTTTTTCCCGCAAGAAGTTAAAACTGGCTGATTGAACCTTTTTTTTTTTTTTTTTACACATGGCGGCGAAGGCCTAAAGCGAAAAGGTTTTATAAAACCCAGCTGAAGGCATAGGACTGGGGCAACGACGCGCGTGCCCACAGAGAGAGCTCTGTGTGCCGCCTCTGGCACCCATGCCATAGGTTCGCCACCACTGGTATAGGGTTTCCTGCCTTAGCAGGGGGTTGGACTAGATGACCTCCAATGTTCTTTCCATCTTCATCATTATTATTATTATTATTATTATTATTATTATTATTATTATTATTATCCCAGTTTATGAACATTACCACTGTTGACTGTAATGGGCAGTCCCCGTTATGGTCCTGTATTATCTGACATATTTAATTGATGGCATCTCGAGCCTAATGGGTAGGTAACCTTGGCTCTTTTATGACTCGTGGACTTCAACTCCCAGAATTCCTGAGCCAGCTTGGCTCAGCATGGAAACCTCTCCCTTTCTCCTCAGCATGGCTGGCTCAGGAATACTGGGAGTTGAAGTCCACGAGTCATAAAAGAGCCAAGGTTGCCTACCCCTGGGCTAAGCCATATGGACTACTCTTTTTCATCCCTTTCTCTCCAAACAGGGCTATCCTTGTGAACTGCTCCCCCTCACCGTGGCTGGCATCCCCTCTATGCATATCTGCCTGGACTTCATACCTGAGTTGATTGCTCAGCCTGAACTCGAGAAACAGGTACGGTTGCCTCCCTCCCCCCTTCTCCTTCCCGTACGTGTGGGTCTGGGGTCTTCGATCAGGGGTTTTATTGGTTTCAACCCAATCTGGAAGAGTGGCTGTGTGCCAGGTCCCCTTGGCGAAGAAGCAATGTCCCCTGGTGGGTCCCCAGGAAGCAGCTCACCTTGGTGTCCTGGCACGTGTTCTGTTGGAATAGGCTTCCCCAGAAATATGGATGGCCCCAAATTTGTTGCTTTTCCCAAAGTTGGGAAGACCTGGCTCTTCTCCCAGGCTTCAGGGCCAGGACGTTCCTTTGGAGGGCTCTCCATGGGTGAATGCGTAGGGTGAACGAGCTGAGACTTTTTTTGGGGGGGAGGGTAGGTTTTTAGGCATTATACTTTTATTCGATCTGCGATTCAGACATTCCCGACAATGGTTGGAAACCGATCAAAGAGAGAAGCAATCTGGAATTAAGGAGAAACTTCCAAATAGTGAGGACAATTAACCAGTGGAACAGCTGGCCACCAGAAATCGTGGGCACTCCGTCACTGGAGGTCTTTAAGAAGAGGCTAGACAGACACTTGTGTGAGATGGCATAGGTCACAGGTCGGCAACCTGCGGCTCCAGAGCCGCATGCGGCTCTTTGAGCCTTGCCCTGTGGCTCCCAGCCTCCTCTGCCTTTGCAGAGAGAGAGAGACAGAGAGAGGCAATTGCGCTTCCCTGCTTCAATCTCTCTCTCTCTCTCTCTCTGTGTGTGTGTGTGTTTGTGTTTTGTGTGTGTGTGTGTGTGTATGTATAAAAGAGAGTGTACTCACATGTTCTCCGAGGAGCTGAAAAGCTTACTGGGCGGAGCTCCTCCCTTTGCTACATCTCAACAGGAAGCAGGAAGGGCAGGAGAGAGCTAGCTAGCCCAGCTAGGCTGACTCAGGAATTCTGGGAGTTGAAGTCCATGAGTCATAAAAGAGATGAGGTTGCCTACCCCTGATCTTGTTGGACAACAGCTTGAAGCTTGCCAGGTGAGCAGCAGATAGGAGAGGGGGGGGGGAGAAAGAGAGAGAGAGAGAGAGAGAGGGAGGGAGAGAGGAGAGAGAGAGAGAGAGAAAGAGAGTGGGGGAAGAGGAGTGGTAGACCAAGGGCAGATAGAGAGGGAGGGAGAGAGACAGAGAGAGAGAGAGACCCTCTTGACATCTAAAATGAAGATAACACTGCATATATACTTTTTTTAACCTGTGTGTGTGTGTGTGTGTGTATACACATACATACATACATACATACATACATACATACATACATATACATATACACACAAACACACACACCTATAATAAAGGTAAAAAAGGATATATGCAGTGTTATCTTCATTTTAGATATCAAAAGGGTTTTGCGGCTCCCAGTGTTTTGTTTTTGGTGGGAAACAGGTCCAAGTGGCTCTTTAAGTGTTTTGGGTTGCCTACCCCTGGCATAGGTTCTCCTGCTTGAGCAGGGGGCTGGACTAGGAAGACCTCCAAGGTCCCTTCCGACTTTTATTATTATTATGATTCTGTAACGCAGATCATAAGTATGCTTATTCCAGGATAAAATCTGTCCACGGGCATCTCTGGTGGCTCAATCAACCTAGCAATCTTTTCTTGACTGCTGTTCTAGATTTGGTTGTCCCTTTTTTTCCAGATTTTCGCTATCCAATTGCTGTCCCACTTGTGCATTCAGTATGCTCTGCCCAAATCCCTCAGCGTGGCACGTTTGGCTATCAATGTCATGGGAACGCTCCTGACAGGTAAGCAGTGCTAAAGGTAAAAGTTTCCACTGTCCAATTGTGTTTGACTCTAGATGCCATTGGTGCTCACCTCGGTTTGTTAGCCAAAGGAGCCAGCGTAGTTCGAAGACATTTTTCATAGTCACATGGCGAGCGTGACTAGATGCCTAAGGCAGGGGTCCTCAAACTTGGCCACTTTAAGACTTGTGGACTTCAACTCCCAGAATTCCCCAGCCAGCATGGCTGGCGGGGGAATTCTGGGAGTTGAAGTCCACAAGTCTTAAAGTGGCCAAGATTGGGAACTCTGGAAGGGCACAGAACCCTGTTACCGAATTGCAGTTATCTTATAAACAAAGAAAGAAAATAAGTTCACCTCTGTTTCTTCAAACTCTAGAATAGATTAGAATAGAATGAAATAATATTTAGCGTAGAGTAGAGTAGAGTAGAGTAGAATAGAATAGAATAGAATAGAAAATAGAATAGAAAATAGAATAGAATCTTTAATTAAAATAGAATAGAATAGAATGGAATGGAACAGAATAGAACAGAATAGAAAATAGAATAGAATAGAATCTTTATTGAGAATAGAATAGAATAGAATAGAATAGAATAGAAAATAGAATAGAAAATAGAATAGAATCTTTAATTAAAATAGAATAGAATAGAATGGAATGGAACAGAATAGAACAGAATAGAAAATAGAATAGAATAGAATCTTTATTGAGAATAGAATAGGAATAGAATAGAATAGAATAATATTATTAGGATGTGAGGAGTCTGCAAGTGTTTTCTCAGTCCTCTTTCTGGTCCGTGCAGACCAGCACAGACAATGTTTCTCTCGTCTCAACAGTTCTCACCGAGGCCAAGCGTTACACGTTCTTTATGCCGACCCTTCCCTGCTTAGTCTCCTTCTGCCAAGCTTTCCCTCCGTTGTACGAAGACATCATGGCGCTGCTCGTTCAGATCGGACAAGTCTGCGCTTCGGACGTGGCCACCGAGACGAGGGATTTTGATCCAATCATTACACGTAAGCCATTGTGTCCAACGCTTTCAGCCTCTTTGGCTTCCCTCGGGCGCCTCCTGGCTTCAGTTGTAGTACAGGTCGTCCTCATCTTACAGCAATTCGTTTAGTGACCATTCAAAGATACCGCCACAGTGAAAAAAAAATGACTTAAAACAATCATTTTTACACACTTACAGCCACGGCAGCATCCCCAGGGTCACGTGATCAAAAGTCAGATGCTTGGCAACTGACTCGTATTTATGATGGTGGCAGTGTCCCCGGAGAATCACGTGATCCCCTTTGGCGACTTTCTGACAAGCACAGTCAGTGGGGGGAAGCTGGGGTCACTTAACAACCCATGTTGCTCACTTAACAACGGCAGTGATTCGCTGAACAACTGTTGCAAAAAAAAAAAAGGTCATGAAATGGAGCAAGAGTCACCTAATGACTGATTTGCTTAGCAGTGGAAATTCTGGGTTCAGTTGTGGTCGTAAGTTGAGGACTCTCTGTACCCCCGCTAGAAACTGGTTCCAAGCTCCCACTATTCTTTCTGTGAAGTTGTCCAAGTTTTGAACTTCCCTCCTGTCCCTTTGACGTTATGTCCCCGTTCTTGATTTGTGCTTAATGTTGAAAATGCTGCCTTCTAGAGCCCTATTCCCACCCTTATGAGCCCTGGTGGTGCAGTGGTTAGAAGGCAGTATTGCAGGCTACCCACTGCCTGGAGTTCAATCCTGACCGGCTCAGAGTTGACTCAGCCTTCTATCCTTCCGAGGACGATAAAATGAGGACCCAGATTGTTGGGGGCAAATAGGCTGACTCTGTAAACAGCTTAGAGAGGGCTGTAAAGCATTGTGAAGCGGTCTATACTTGCTATTGCTTCCTTCCCTTCTTTCTCTCCCTCCCTCCCTTTTCTCTTTCCTTCCTCCCTCCTCTCTCCCTTCCTTCCTATGGTGGTGCAATGGTTAGAATGCAGTATTGCAGGCTGACTCTGCCCACTGCCAGGAGTTTGATCCTAACCAGCTCAAGGTTGACTCAGCCTTCCCTCCTTCCGAGGTCGGTAAAAGGAGGACCCAGAATTAGTATGCAAATATGCAAAATAATGCTTCTACATTGTAAATCTCCCAGAGAGTGCTGTGAAGCGCTATGGGGACAGTATATAAATGTAAATGCTATTAATATATTTAAAGGTTTCAATCATGTGCCTTTTTTTCTTATGCTCTTCAGGCTTGTACATAGTCAGATTCCCCCAGTCTCTCCTGATATTTTTATCCCTTAGACCGGGGGTAGGGCAACCTTGGCTCTTTTATGACTTGTGGACTTCAACTCCCAGAATTCCTGAGCCAGCATGGCTCAGCATGGAAACCTCTCCCTTTCTCCTCAGCATGGCTGGCTCAGGAATTCTGGGAGTTGAAGTCCACGAGTCATGAGGGGTCCAATAGTTCCCCCATATTGGCTCAGGAATTCTGGGAGTTGAAGTCCACAAGTCTTAGAGCTGCCAAGGTTGAGGACCCCTGATATAGGGCAGGGGTGGGGAACCTTGTCTCTTTTATGACTGGTGGACTTCAACTCCCAGAATTCCTGAGCCAGCACGGCTCAGCATGGAAACCTCTCCATTTCTCCTCAACATGGCTGGCTCAGGAATTCTGGGAGTTGAAGTCCACCAGTCATAAAAGAGCCCAGGTTGCCTACCCCTGCACTAGACTTTGCACCGTTTTTATTGCCCATTTCTGGACTCTCTCAATCTTAACCACTTTCCCAACCTCTGGGCTCATCTGCTGATGGATGGTGATAATGTTATCCATTCCGTCATGTCTGGCGAGTCTGTGGGCCACATCTTCCCATCTCGCACTGCTTCTTTGAGTTGTTCTATGCTCTGCCTGGTGTCAGTTTTGATGGCATCCAGCCACCATGTTCTTTGCTGGCCTGCTTTCCTTTTACCACTAACTCTCCCCAACATAATGGCTTTCTCCGGTGAATCTCCCTGCATGACATTGCCAAAGTAAGAGAGACACAGTTTTGTGATTTTTTCCCCCCTTCCAGCGACATGTCTGGTGTTATGCGCACCAATACTTGCTTGTTAGTCCCCGTTGCTGTCCAGGGAATACGCAGGGGCCTTCTCCTGCACCACAGCTCAAACAAATCGATTTTCTTCCCGTCTGTTCTGTCCCAGCCTACGTGAGTCCTTGTTAACTCACAAGGAGAAACCCCTCTTCCAACAAGCGGGCTGGAACTGTAGGAAAAACAAACCCCTTCTCTTATTATTTACAGACCTGCAAAATGTCCAAAGGCAAAGGCCAAACAAACACGATTAAATGAAACTGGATTCTTTCTCAAACGGGAAATCGTTCCAAAGTCATAGGCAGACAAAACACAATTCAAACAAACTTGATTCCTTCACAAACGGTTGCCTTCAGCAACCAGCCCCTCCCACACCTTCCCTTTTTATTATGCAGCCCCAATGGCGTGGCTTCCTAATGCCTTCTCCTCTGCCTTTGGAGTCGCCCCGTTACCTCCCTCTGTCCTGCTCTTGTTGCTTGTCGGCGTTTGCGAGCATCTGTGATGTCTGCCAGCTGTGAGTCCTCAGAGTCTGACTCGGCTTCCCAGCACAGCTGTGACTCAGCCTGAGCACGAGTGGAGGGGCCAGGCTCCTCATCAGATTGTAAGTCTTGGAGCTCCTCAGAGCCTTCCTCTGACACTGATGGCACTCCAGGCCCCTCCTCCTCCTTCTCCTGCTCCTCCTCCTCCTCTGATTCCCCAGACTCAGTTGCTGGGCCCACTGGCTGGCGAAGAATCACAACACCTTCTTGTTTTTTTTTAAACTCCAACTTTCAAGGCCAGTTAGGGAACACACTTAACATTAATAGCCGGGCTGATATCCTTATTTTTCCATGCTGATGGGCATCCTGTGCCTAACTTCATCTAAGCCTTTCTACTCTCCACGTTTAACTTTTTGTCGTTTTTATTTTTCCTGCCCTGAATTCTCTCTTAGGCCTCCAGCAACTGAAGGAAAAACCTACCGAACACGTGAGGCTTCCTAAGAATCTGACTCACAAGACCGGAGGAGGGACCACCAGCACAGACCCCAATGTCCAGCTTTGTCACTGCATCGAAAACACCTTCGTCGAAATCATTAATATGAGCGTCGGCGCCGTTTAAACGCATCTGGGTCGGTTGGCTTGTCACCGAGTGTGAGATGCGTCTGGATTTGGGGCTGACGTAAAAACCAAGGATTGTCCAGAAACATGTGGAACGTTTTTCACTCACCGCAAGTCAACAACAGCTGCTTTCAGAGAAAGGGTCTCTAGGCTGGGATGATTAAGATCTGTTTTGTCCAGCCAGACCTCTTCAGACAACCGTCCTGACTGGAGATTCTGAGAAAGAGGAGCATGGATCAAAGGCAGGGAAAGCTGGTCTGGTGTTACCCTTTCCCTTAATTGGGAATCCAGGTTTCCTTGCATTCCCAAGAGAAGGCCGTGCAAAACATGATTGCCAGTGTATAATGTAACATCATTCGTAGAATTGGATTGACCTTTTGTAAAAAAAAAAATGTCTTATATTCCTTCACCTGACTCCATCGTATCTTGGATTAAAGCTGAAAAGGTTAAACCTTAATCTATGGAAATGACTTATGACAGTCCCATCAAGAGTTGTGGGGCTGTGAAACACGCTCTCCTCTTAACTCCCAAGCAAGAATTCAGAGGAAGCTGGTAAAAAGAAAGAGAAAGAGATTATGGACATGCCATTTTGAGGGAACCATCTATTTTACAGGCAGTCCTGGACTTCCAACCACAACCGAGCCCCAAATTTCCATCGCTAAGCAAGACAGTGGTCATGCTTTGCCCTCTTTTACAACCTATCTAGTTGTTAAGTGAACCACTGCTCTTGTTACGTTTACACCAGTGGTTCTCAACCTGTGGGTCGGGACCCCATTTGGGGTCGAACGACCATTTCACGGGAGTCGCCAAACAACGCAGTCCGCCATTTTTTCCCCTTTTCCTTAGCTGTGCTACTCCCTTTTATTCTATTGGCTTTTGAAAGCCAATAGAATAACTCTCTTGAATAGAGTCTAATTCTATTGGCTTTCAAAAGCCAATAGGAATTGTCCAGGCTGTCTCTGCCCTGCTGAGCCCGCCAAAAGTCCCATTCTGCAAACGGTGCTGCACCAGTTGAGTAGTCCTCGACTTCCGATCGGTTGAGTAGTCTTCGACTTACGACCGGTTGGGGGTCACGGCATTAAAAAGGTTGAGAACCACTGGTTTACACGGTTGTAATGTGAATCCAGCTTCCCCCTATTGAGTTTGCTTGTCAGAAGTTCGCAAAAGAGGATCATACGATCCCTGGCCACATTTTGATCACGTGACCATGGAGATGTTGCAGTGGTCATAAGTGTGAAAAACACCAAGTTATGTTTTTTCAGCGCTGTTGTAATTTTGAACGGTCGCTAAATGGACGATTGTAAGTCGAGGATATTTGCGCTGGCATGTCCATATGTAGCGGTCGTAAAATCTGAAATGCTGAATAGGGAAGTTAGGAACTAAAGAGCCTTGGAGAGTCAGTGCAATTCAGCTGTTTTTGATGCCTCATCTCGCCTCCAGCTTTTAAACTGGAGGAGGACTCCGAAGAGTAATAAATACCTGTTTGTTTCTGCAAAGTAGAAAAAGTTTAAACCCCCTTTGAAAATTGGGAGGGAGCATGACTTTCACTTGCTTGGAAGGGAAAGAGTTTCTAAGCAGATCCTTGAAATCCATTTTTATTCTTTTTAATGGTGTTGGGTGTTGGGGGAGGAAAGCAGCTTTAAAATAGGATTTCACAAGAGCTATGTTAGGCTTTTCTTATCCTTTCCTCCCTTTTTTTTAGCAAAACAAAAGATACGTGAGGGAGCAGTCTTTCTCAAACTTAGCAACTTTTAAGGTGTGTGGACGTCAACGCCCAGAATTCCCCAGCCAGCATGCCAGATTTATATGCCAATATGCAAGAAAAATCAGCACGTTTATGAGTTGGAAACATTAAAAGTTGGCATGGGAAATTTTTGGCCCTCCAGGTATTGCCAGCCTAACTCCTATCCACTCTAATGTCTCTTACCATTAGCCAGTCTGCCCAAACACTGTTTTTTTCACATCTACAAAAATGTAATACCGTATATTCCGGCGTATAAGGCGACCCGGCGTATAAGATGATCCCTGACTTCGGCGCCAAGTCGCATGCCTAGAAAGTCGTCTTATACGCCGGAAACTACCGTTATTTCCGGCGTATAAGACAACTCGGCGTATAAGACAACCACTGACTTCGGCGCCAATTTTAATGCTTGCGAAAGTTGTCTTATACGCCGGAAAGTACGGTAATTTTTGTTTCCAATCAAGAATTAAAGATATTTACGATGTTTACGATGAGGAAGAGATTTTTGGGAGAAGGAATTATTCCCCTGTATAATTCCTTCTCCCAAAAATCTCTTCCTCATTTCAGAACTGTTGATACTACTTAACATTTCAAAACTGTTGAAACTGTTAAGTAGATATACTTAACAAACTGGTCTTAGTTAAGTATATCTACTAAGATCATTTCTAATCATTGTGCTTTTATCCATTACTTGGAGCCCAATCTTTGACAGCCGTGGATGTTTAGGGGCTTTGTGTGTCTGTGTGTGTGTGTGTGTGTGTGTTTTAATGATTGAAGAACAAAACACAAATTCATATGTTACATTAATAGAAGAGAATTATTCGAGTTAATATGGTATAACAATCAATCCTTGGCCAGCTGAGAGTCTAAAACTGTTAGATCTGGTCTCTCAAAAAGTCCAAATAATTTTGGCCTTCGGATATTTTAGCATAATTTTGCTGAGATGGCTAATATCAGTGCTACAAAGCAATATTATTATTCTTTTTTGTATGTATTGTCGAGATGCATTTAGAATGCCGTTTTTATCATATAGATAGGCGTCTTGTGGATAGTGATGTAATATTTGTACAGAGTTTTTGTTTTCATTGCTGCAGTTTCAAAATGGGTGCCGTGTTTTAACCTGTAATTGATAAGCATTCAATTTCAAAGAGATTCATTGGAAAGAATAAGTTTCTTACTGTATAAATAGGTGTACTTTTTCTATTCATTCTTTTTTTAAAAAAACAACACCCCAATGTCTCTTGTACAGTCATAGCAGATTCTTATGCATTCAAACAGATCTAACTCATACAAGAGAGGAAATATTGGAAGTTTGCGGGAACATTTTCAGACATGTAGAAAGTCTGCTCTAAACACATCTTGAGCAAAAGACTGTTCCTGTTTCCAAATAAATGCTGTCCTTGGAGACCAAGATGTAAAAAAGATGTTGAGACTCTAGAAAAAGTACAAAGAGCAACAAAGATGGTTAGAGGTCTGGAGGCTAAAAATATAAAGAACAGTTGCTGGAATTGGGTATGTCTAGTAGCTTAATGAAGAGAAGGATGAGGGGGGACATGATAGCAACCTTCCAATATCTCGGGCTGCCCCAAAGAAGAGGGAGTCAAGCTATTTTCCAAAGCGCCTGAAGGCAGGACAAGAAGCAACAGATGGAAACTCATCAAGGAGAGAAGCAACCTAGAAGTAAGGAGAAACTTCCTGACAGTGAGAACAATTAACCAGTGGAACAACTTGCCTCCAGAAGCGGTGAATGCTCCAACATTGGAAGTTTTTAAGAAGAGACTGGACAGCCATTTATCTGAAATGGTATAGGGTTTCCTGCCTGAGCATGGGGTTGGACTAGATGACCTCCAAGGTCCCTTCCAACTTTATTATTTTTATTATTAAGATAGTCCTCGACTTATGACCGATTGCTTAGCAACTGATTGACATTACAATGGACCTACCTGGGGAATACTTATGATTTGATATGAAATTCCCGCAGCTGCCCCGTGATCACATGAGCACCTCTCCGAGATTTGTAGCCTTCTGCTGCATCCTACAGTCATGTCACCGCGTTTTATAATGGTTTTGCTAAAAACCAGCAATTCCTGTTTTTGGCAAAACCCTCCCTTAGATATGGTTCACTTAACACCAAAAAAAAAAAAGTTATAACATCAGGTCAATCACGTGGGTGACCCAATTTACAAGCATCACGATGTAGACCTGATGGGCAGGCTCCATTATGACCCTAAACTGGGGACTTTGAATTACTGTATGCCTAGAGTGGGATATGTATTTGATAATGTTAATTGAAAATAATTCTTGGCTGTGCACTGTTGTTTAGAAATCACCATATTAAAATAAAATAATTACTCCTTTTAGTATGCCACCACAAATCAGACATGTTTCTCTTTTGTGATAAAGCTTAAGAACTGCAACTGTCACTTAATAAATTAGCACATTTCAGCCCCTTGCGGATTTCAGCTGTAGATTTTTTTTCCCATAAACCTTTTGAATGCATAGTGTAGAAGGCAGTAGATAGAAGAAATAGAATAATAACTTTATTGTCACTTTGAATGTACATTGCATTCAAATTTCATTAAAATGAAATTTCATTGTATACAGCTCTCAGAGGGTCACCACCTCCAATATACACTACATAAATCTGACAAAAATAAATACAGAATTATGCATATACCCACATATATGACACAGAGACAACACAGTCTAGTTCGGATTATGTAGATATTCCCAGTGGTGGGATTCAAAGATGTGAACAACCGGTTCTCTGTGTGGATGCCACTTCCGGAAGTTCATTCTGGGCCTGGGCAACAAAAAATTAGCTACCAGTTCTGCTGAAGTAGTATGAACTGGCTGAATCCCACCACTGGATATTCCCAGTTTCAACCTATATATAGGTTTATACATACATAGATACATACATACATATAAATAAAACAACCCAAAATTATTTGGGACACCATCTCTCCTAACATTAGATGGGCTTCAGCTGTATTGACGTGTCAACTGAAGACCCTGATGGTATGGCTAGGGACCCTCTGGAGGTAGGCAGCCTGCAGGGGTAGCTGTATTCATAAATTTCTGATTGACACTCCCATGTTTTATGTTTTTAACCATTAACTTTTTTACCATTTTGGTTGCTTATTTATTCATGTTTTGTGGTTTTAACTTTGTGAGCCCACCCACCACCAGTTCACGCATGTAGGATATGTGGCTATATTCATTCCTGTGGGGATCTTTGGCGCTCTCTGAGCTTGGTTGTTTTCTTGCAGACGTTTCATTACCCTACTAGGTATTATCATCAGTGGGGTTTGTTTTCTGTTTATACATGTGGGATTCGTTGTCTAGTTGAAATAAACAATCACCAGCCAAAACTTCCAAGAGAAAACAATGGTTTTGTACTCCTTTGCAAAGAGGATGCTCCTTGTGCATGCAAGCACACAGTGGACACACCTTGAATCTTCATTCTTTATAGCAGTGGTTCTCAACCTTTTTAATGCCGCGACCCCCAACCGGTCGTAAATCGAGGACTACTCAACCAGTCGTAAGTCGAGGACTACTCAACTAGTGCAGCACTGTTTGCAGAATGGGACTTTTCGCGGGCTCAGCAGGGCAGAGACAGCCTGGGCAATTCCTATTGGCTTTTGAAAGCCAATAGAATTAGACTCTATTCAAGAGAGTCTAATTCTATTGGCTTTCAAAAGCCAATAGAATAAAAGGGAGTAGCACAGCTAAGGAAAAGGGGGAAAAATGGCGGACTGCGTTGTTTGGCGACCCCCGTGAAATGGTCGTTCGACCCCAAATAGGGTCCCGTCCCATAGGTTGAGAACCACTGCTTTATAGTCTCCATTGCGGTTACAAATTTACCTCCCACTTCTGCTCATTGGCTTAGTAATTATGCTGGAATCATGCCCTCACAACCTATCCAAAGCTTCTAAAGTGAATATATTATCTCAACCCTTGATTACGTCCCCCACTCCTCTAATTTGATCATCCCCTGCCCTTTAGGACTGTTAGTTCCTAGGGATTGTCTCAATTCTCAAGTTTCAGCTAGGCTCATGAGATTAAAATATATACAGTGTATTTCTTCACAGGCTAGCATGTCTTCTGCAGTTTCTGTAAAAACAATAGGCCTTTTTTCTCATATACACAAGTGACTTGCCCTATCTGTGTTGGTGGGTATTCTTGGTAGACCCTTGATTAGGCTGTTACTTACTTAATTTGAGTTAGTAGTTCCTTGATTGGGGTATTGTTTGCTTATTGATTGTTGGTCTAAAATTAATCTTGAAGTTAAATCTCTGTTCATCTGGATGTTGATTGCTGGTGAAGAGGTATTTTGGTCTGAGATGTGTTTAAGTATTAGTATTTTGGTCTTTTTGCTTCCTTTTTTGCTTTTTGCTTTGTCTCTTTTGAATAGTATGTAGTTGGTACTCAAGAGAGCTACAAGTATTCTTGTACTAATTCCATTCCTCTCCACAAGATGTCACTATAAGCTAAGTTATCAAGAGTTGTGTCAAAACCACATCCCATTGACCTTGCTTGTCAGGATTCTGCTGGGAAAGTCACAAATGGTGATCACTTGATCTGGGATGCTAACCCCCCCCCGTAAATAAAGGTAGTCCTTAACTTATGACCACAATTGAGCCCAAAATTTATGTTGCAAAGGGAGACCTTTGTTAAGTGAGTTTTGCCCCCTTTTATGACTTTTCTTGCCTCGTTTGTTAATTGAATTACTGCAGTTCTTAAATTAGTAACAGTTAAGTGAATCTGGTTTGCTCATTGACTTTGCTTGTCAGAAGGTCGCAAAAGAGGATCACATGACTTTGGGCACTGCAACCATCATAAATGTGTCAGTTGTCAAGCACCTGAATGTAAATCATGTGACCATGGGGATGCTGCAAAGGTGGTAAGTGTGAAACATGGTCATGTCACTTTTCAGTGCCGTTGTAACTTTGAATGGTCACTAAATAAACTTGTAAATCAAGGACTACCTCGACCTGCCAGGTGCCAAGCACCCGAATTTTGATCACAGGACTATGAGCGTGCAATCGCAGTTGTCTTAAGTATGGGGACTGGTTGAAAGCCACTTTTTTCAATGCCGTTGTTATCTTCAAAGGGTTGCTAAATGAATGGTTGTAAATCAAGGACTACTTGTATTTATCTGCAGAAAATACTGTTGAAGGAAAAATCTTCACCAGGATCCAGTCCAAGCCGGGAATAATCAAAATGGAGACTGCTTTAGAAAGAAGGTTGTAGTTTATTGAAGAGAGTCAGACAGAAAGATGGCTCTGGGAAAACTGACCACATGTAGCTGTGAGTGGTGGGTTTTTATACCTTCTGGGGCTCTTGAGGTTGTTTGAGGCTTTGTATTTCCTGTGTCATGTACTTTGACCTGGGTCTCTGTGTGCCCTTTTGGTATTGGTGGGTTAATCCTATTATGTTTCCTGTCCTTAGAGTTTGGGTGGGGGTATGTAGATTTTAGGGGGCCTTTGTCTTCCTAATCTCATCAGCTTCTAGCTTCCTGGCTCCAATCTTTCTGAAAGGATTATCACATCTGCATTTCTAAAAGCTGGCCTCTGCTTGGTTTCTGCTTGAGGGGAGAGGAGCTGAGGCTGGTTTCTGTCTTTTTTTAGATCTTATCCATTATTCCTCTGGGGAAATATATTCTGCCCTTTTAATATTCCTCAAAATATTTATTTCTCTGGATTCTTCCCACAATGGATAGAGTCAGAGAGCACAAGTTGTTTGGGGAAAAAAGGCAGGACCTCTGATTACTGTCTTTTAAGACAAAGAGCAAGCACGGGCGGTAGAATAAATCAATGTTTATTGATGGCTGGGGAGTTCTGGGAATTGAAATCTACCCATCTCAAACCTTGGCTGGCTGGGGAATTCTGGGAGTTGAAGTCCACCCAACTCAAACCATGGCTGGCTGGGGAATTCTGAAGTCCACATTGTAATCACACTTTAACCTTCTTCCCATAATCCACTGTCCATCTTGCGCACTCAAAGATCATGAGGCGCTATAGAGTCAGTGTCAAGGGATCAAAGCCTCTACCAGTTCGAAAGACCCTTCATGGTGTTGCGTTAGGGGTCTTCCCCTCAGCCAACTGAATGTGAATTCCTCAAATTCTTGGATTAGCCGGCGGAATTCACGCCAACCCAACAGAAGACCACTAATCTGTCCCCGAAAGCAAGACCGGGAGATCTAGGCCGCGAGGTATCTAAGCAACCGAAGGACACCGGAAGCCGCGCTACCGACGGCTCTCGTTGGCGCTTCCAGCTCACCGCTGATTGGCAGAAAGGCCGGAAGGGGGCGGACGCAGCCGAGGCGGGAAGGAAGGTTCGAAGTCGGAAAAAGCGAGTGAAGAAGCGCTTGGCACCCTGAGGTAACTCTTCTTGCGCGCGCTGGGAAGAGAGGGGCGCGTATTGGTTCCTGCGCGTTTAGATGAGTCCAAAAAGCGGGTGGCTGGCGGGGGGGGGGGAAGAGTACAGCACCTTTCGACTCTTCCATTCCGAAGAGGGGGGGAGATTTGTTTTTAAAGCACGCTCGGATTTTGTGCCTTTCTTTTTCTCTGACATAAAAGGGTTTTTGAAGGATCAAAAAGTGGGGCTTAGGGGAGAAAATAAAATGCCCCCTCCAGCGTTTAGTGAGTCAAAAAGTCTTTTTTCGGGGTGGTGGTGGTGGTGGGTTATTGGAAAGAACCACCATCCCGCAAGTAAAGTTTGCTTTTTTTCGTGCATCAATTCCTTTAAAAAAAATATTCCTAAAATTCCTAAAATTATTCCTAACCTCCATTAGTTATTTAATTTTAATTTTCCATAGTCGGTTCAATTATATTCGAATCGATATATATATGTATGTGTGTGTGTGTATCGATGGCATTAAAAGTATTACTATTATATTATTACTATTAGTGTTATATTTTATCTATCAAATGAGATAAAATGTATATATTTTATCTCATTAGGTAGATAAAATATAATATAGTATAGTATACAATAGATAGTATATCTTAGATAGATAGATATATATACATAGATAGATGTAGGCAGATAGATAGATAGATAGATAGATAGATAGATAGATAGATAGATAGATAGATAGATAGATTCTAATAGTAGGAATAATACTTTTAATGCCATTGAATATCCACATCTGTCTATCCTGGGTCCTTGGGAAGGACTCGGAGAGATGGATAAAAATGCCAAATCCAGTCTAAACATCTGGCTGCGTGTGCGAGAAACCGTGATAATACATTGTATAGGCTGACTACAAATACCAGCATGGCAAAGTAGCAACAATAGTGCATTGGAAGACCTGCAAGAAATACCATTTCTATGCAGATAATCCTCAACTCATAGCGATTCATTTAGTGACCATTTGAAGTTACAATGGCACTGAAGAAAGTCTTACGACAGTTTTTCACTGGGCATTCCTGCAGCAGCACTAAGATAATAGCTTGACTCCTTGTGACTTCACAGATCAAAGCTCTGGGAGTTTCCTTATTAGCGAAGTAGAGGTGGTTTGAACTAGCCTTTCTTCACTTAGGGATGTTGAAATTCTCAGCTGAGAAATTATTTTATTTTATATTTGTTTGTTTGTTTGTATCATGCCTTCAAGTAACTCCAGGCGGCAAATGTATCCAACACATCTTCCTCCTCCTATTTTTATCACAATAACAACCCTCGTTGGTGAGTTGGACCGAGAGGGAGGGACTGACCCAAAGTCACCCAGCTGGATTCACGGCTAAAACAGGACTAGAACTCTCAATCTCCTGGTGATTGGCCCAAGGTCACTGTGATGGTTCCGGCTAACGAAACACTTCAAAGAACTTCCAGGCATTGATTTCCCTAAAAGTCTTTTATTGCTTCAAAATGTCGGCACAGGCATAACGGAAGGTTTATTCTAAAGCCTTTATTACCAGTGTTACAAACTGACGGCACATCATGGAGGTTTATGCCAGAATCTGAATTCCTCTTGCTGGCATCTAACTTTTTTTGCTAAATCCCTCTCTTTTCTCTGTCATCTGAATTAACTCTAAAAATACCAGACAGTTCTGCATATTTTGTCAAAGCAAGAATATTCAATATTAGCAGCGTTGACAGTCACCCAAACAGCTCTCATGGTTAAGGCAGGACTAGAACTCACTGTCTCCCGGTGATTGGACCAAGGTTTTCATGTCTAAGGTGGGGCTAGAAATCTCAGTTTCCTGGTGATTGGCCCAAGGTCACCCAAACAGCTCTCCTGATGATTGGCCAAAGTCATCCAGTGGACTTTCAAGTCTGAGGTGGGATTGAAATTCAGAGGTTTATAATTTAAAACACTGCTTCTTTTTTCTTGAAGGTGGATTGTCCTGAAAAGTCAACGTGATTATGGCATTACAAACATCAGAATACACCATTGGTGGAGTGAAAATTATCTTCCCTTGTAAGGCTTATCCATCACAGCTTGCTATGATGAATGCAGTAAGTCTGTAAAGCAATGATTTTACAACAGTGATTGTAAGGTTATGCTTAAGTCTTTGCAGCAATGTTTCTTAACCTTGGTAACTTAAATGTGGACTTGAACTCCCAGAATTTGAAAAGTTGAGAGAAGAGCAACTAAGATAGTAATAGTAGTAAAGTTGGAAGGGACCTTGGAGGTCATCTAGTCCAACCCCCTGCTCAGGCAGGACACCCTACACCATTTTGGACAAATGGCTGTCCAGTCTCTTCTTAAAAGCTTCCAGTGTTGGAGCATTCACTGCTTCTGGAGGCAGGTTGTTCCACTGATTAATTGTTCTCACTGTCAGGAAGTTTCTCCTTAGTTCTAGGTTGCTTCTCTCCTTGATTAGTTTCCACCCGTTGCTTCTTGTCCTGCCTTCAGGTGCTTTGGAAAATAGCTTAATAACTTAATGATTAAAGGCCTGGAGACTAAAGCATATGAAGAGCAGTTGCAGGAATTGGGTATGGCCAGTCTAGAGAACTGAAGGTCTAGGGGGTACATGATAGCAATGTTCCAGTATTTGAGGGGCTGCCACAAAAGAAGAGGGAGTCAACTTATTTTCCAAAGTACCAGAAGTAAGGACATGAAACAATGGATGGAAACTAATCAAGGAGAGAAGCAACCTGGAATTAAGGAGAAACTTCCTAACAGTGAGAACAATTAACCAGTGGAACAGCTGGCCTCCAGAAGTTGTGGGCCCTCCATCACTGGAGGCTTTTATGAAAAAACTGGACAGCCACCTATCTGAAAGGGTATAGGGTCTCCTGCTAGAGCAGAGCAATTTTGGTCACCACCATGTAAAAAATGTTGGAGTCTCTGGAAAGAGTGCAGAGAACAGCAACAAAGATGATCAGGAGACTGGAGGCTAAAACATATAATGAACGGTTGCTGGAATTGGGTATGTCTAGTTTAATGAAGAGAAGGACGAGGGGGGACAGGATAGCAGTCTTCCAATATCTCAGGGGCTGCCCCAAAGAAGAAGGAATCAAGCTATTCTCCAAGGCAGAACAAGAAGCAATGGATGGAAACTCATCAAGGAGAGAAGCAACCTAGAACTAAGGAGAAACTTCCTGACAGTTAGGGTTGGACTAGATGACCTCCAAGGTACCTTCTTTCTCTATTCCAATTGATTGAATTGTTAGATCCATGCAGCTGGCCAGCCTGCTGGATGGGGAATTCTAGGAGTTGAAGTCCACACTTTTAAAAATTGCCAAGATTGAGAAACACCGCTTAATAGTTCGTTGCAAATCAGGATTTTCTCCAGCTTCCCTGAATTTTTTTTGTCTTTCAACTTTTAAAATATTTGCTTGGTGCTGTTTTTTTTTTAAAGCAACAGGATTAAATTCAAAATTTTTAAATCAGTGAAAATTATTAGCCCCATTTTGTGACCTTTTTTTGCTGCGGTTGTTAAGTGAATCACAGCAGTTGTTAAGTGAATTACATGATTGCTAAGCAAATCTGGCTTGCTTCATTACTTTATTGGTTGGAAGCTGGCTGGGAAAGTTACAAATGATGAGCACATGATCCCAAGATGATGCAGGCAATTCAAATTAGAAATGAAAAGTTTTTAATATTGGTTGGGGAGTCAGGATCCAACATGTCTCACTGAGTAGAAATGGTTTTTTTCCATTGAAATTCCATGTTTTAAAGTAGATGGCCACCTACATTGTTCTTCAAATTCAGTTCTGCAATGAATGAAATTAGGGGAATAGTTTGAAAGCAACAGGTAAATCAGATTTTCAGGGTTTTTTTAGTTGCCGTCTTACAGCACAAAAAAACCAACAACAGCAGCTAGTTTTTCATGCTGGTAAAAATTCATCTCCTTTGCAGATTGTGAAGGGGCTGAGCTCCAAGCAACACTGCCTGCTGGAGAGTCCCACAGGAAGTGGAAAGAGCTTGGCGCTGCTCTGCTCTGCGCTGGCCTGGCAGCAGTCCCTTTATGGTGAGGCCTTAGGTAGGCCAGCTTGAGCCCATCAAGACTCTGCTGTTGGCTTCATTTTCCCTGCTAAAATGTCTATTTATCCATATATATCCATCCATCCATCTAACCATATGTATCCGTCCATTATCTCTCTCTCTCTCTCCATTATCCATCCCTACCCATTATCGCTCTCTCTCTCTCCATTATCCATCCCTACCCATTATCGCTCTCTCTCTCTCCATTATCCATCCATCCCTATCCATTCTCTCTCTCTCTCTTTCTCTCTCTCTCCATTATCCACCCATCCATATCCATTCTCTCTCTCTCTCTCTCTCTCTCTCCATTATCCATCCATCCCTATCCATTATCTTTCTCTCTCCATTATCCATCCATCCCTATCCATTATCTCTCTCCATTATCTATCCATCCCTATCCATTATCTCTGTCTATCCATCAATCCATTATTTATCCATTTTCTATTCATATATTCATTATCCACCCATCCTTATCTATCTATCTATCTATCCATATATTCATTATCCATCCATCCCTATCCATTATATCTATCTATCTATCTATCTATCTATCTATCTATCTATCTATCTATCTTTCTATCTATCTATCTATCCATTATATAGCTATGTGTCCATCCATGTATGTATGTATGTATCTATCTATCTAACTAACTATCCATCCATATATTCATTATCTATCCATCCATCCATCTAGCTAGCTAGCTATCTTATTTAAAAACTGTCTATCTCCCTCACAGAATAAAATATTAAAAGCATAAAAACAGTATATAAAATTTAAAAGAGGCTGTTAAAAATTGATTAAAGGTGGGAGGGGAAGAGCTTTCAGGTTGCTAGCAGTTGTGCCCTTTTTTGCCACCGTCGTTAAGCAAATCACTGCAGTTGTGAAGCAAACCACACGGTTCTTAAGTAAATCTTCCTTACCCCATTGACTTTGCTTGTTGGAAGCTGGCTGGGAATGTTACAATTGGTGATGATATGTTCCTTGGATGCTGCAACCATCGTAAATACAGGCTGATTGCCAAGTGCCCCAATTTTGATCATGTGATCCTGGGGATGCTGCAACAATTGTAGGTTTGAAAAAAACTGTCATAAATTCACCTTTTTCAAGCCCATTGTAATTTGAATGGTCATTAAACAAATGGTTGTAACTCAAGAATTACCTGTATTTTTTTTTTTAAAAAAAAAAAACTTGTCTGCTCTTTAGATAAACCGCTGGATGACTCAAAAGAATGCAAGAAGACTGGGGCTTTGAAACCGTGCCGCTGCCCATGCCATGCTAAATCGTCTGGTCAGGATCTACAAGGAGGCAGCCAAAGCACATCTTCTTTCTTCCCCAACCATGCAACAGAGACCTCACCAGGCAGTGGAAGTAGCTCATTCAACAAAGGTATTGTCTTATCTGAGGGGCTTTTAAGGACACCACCCTCATTTATAACAGAATAACAGAGTGGGAAGGGACATTGGAGGTCATCTAGTCCAACCCTCTGGTCAGGCAGGAAACCCTATACCATTTCAGACAAATGGCTGTCCAGTCTCTTCTTAAAAACCTCCAGTGTTGGAGCATTCACCGCTTCTGGAGGCAGGTTGTTCCACTGGCTAATTGTTCTCACTGTCAGGAAGTTTCTCCTTAGTTCTAGATTGCTTCTCTCTTTGATTAGTTTCCATCCGTTCATTGCTTCTTGTCCTGCCTTCAGGAGCTTTGGAGAATAGCTTGACTCCCTCTTCTTTGGGGCAGCCCCTGAGATACTGGAAGACTGCTCTTATGTCCCCCCTTATCCTTCTCTTCGTTATACTAGACAGACCCAATTCCAGCAACCGTTCCTTATATGTTTTAGCCTCCAGACCTCTAATCATCTTTGTTGCTCTTCTCTGTACTCTTTCTAGAGTCTCCACAAGTTCTCCATTTTTATTTCCTTCTTACCTGCCGGGTTGTGTTTTTCTGTTGAATTAGGATGTTTATAAAATTGTTTTCTGTTTCACAGACTCCCTTTGATGTAATTGTTATTGCAGAAAGCCTCTCACGAACGACATTGGCTTCAAAACTGTCTGCCAAACAGCAAGCCTCGTCCCATGAAGAAGACGACAGCGACAACGATTTCAAAGTAGAAAGGAAGAGGATTCGTTCACTCGAAGCAGAGAACCAGGTTGGCAAAAACGTATACAGGCAGTCCCCATCTTACAACCATTAGTTTAGTGAGCGTTCGAAGTTACAGTTGCCACTAAGACAAGTGGCCTCTGGCTATTTTGCACATGACGGTTGCAGCATGCCTTTGGGCACGTGATCAAAATGCAATCACTTTAGCAACTGTTTCATATTTACGATGCTTGCAGTGTCCCAGGGTGTTTATATAGAATAAAGCTGGAAGGGACCTTGGAGGTCTTCTAGTCCAGCCCCCCGCTTAAGCAGGAGAACCTACACCATCTCAGACAGGTGATTGTCTATCTTTTCTTAAAGATCTCCAGTGATGGGGTGCCTACGATTTCTGGAGGCCAGCTGTTCCACTGGTTGATTGTCCTCACTGTCAGGAAGTTTCTCCTTAAATCCAGGTTGCTTCTCTCCTTGGTCAATTCCCAGCCATTGTTTCTCGTCTTTCCCTCTGGTGCTGTGGTACACAACGTGACCCCCTCTTTTTTGTGGCAGCCCCTCAGATACTGGAACACTGCTATCATGTCTCCCCTATTCTTCTCTTTAGACTGGCCAAACCCAAGTCCCGCAGCCATTCTTCGTATGTTTTAGTCTTAGTTGATCATCTTAGTTGCTCTTCTCTGAATTTTTTCTAAACTCTCAACATCTTTTTTGTGATATGGTGACCAAAACTGGCTTCAGTATTCCAGATGTGGTCTCACTAGGGATTTGTAAAGCGGTACTAATACTTCGCGTGATCTTGATTTTATGCCTCTGTTTATACAACCCAGGATTGTATTAGCCTTTTGGGTTGCTGCCGCACACGGCTGGCTCATAGTCAAGTGATTGTCCGCTAGGATTCCAAGGTCCCTCTCACAGTTACTGACTCACAACAATTCGTTTACCAATCTGGTTACGAGTACTGGTTATAAATACTAAACACCTCTGGAGTGGCAGAACAGCGAAGAACATCTCCCATTGTGCCAGCTTTTCAACCTCTTCCTCTTCAGACCTTTCTCTCCATGCCACAGCCTGCGATGTGCTCCTTGGGGCAAAAAGAGACCTTTTTCCCAGTGGCCGTTGTGCTTTTTGCAGGGACATCACCTCTTGAGGCACAGTGGCTCAGTGGCTGAATGACGCTGGAGATGGTTTCTGCTCCAGCGGTTTGACTCCTAGCACAGTGTGGCAGGGTGAGCTCCCATCCTTTGCCTCAGCGTCTGTCCACCTAACAGTTCGAAAGCATGTTCTCTGTGAGTAGATAAATAGGTACCACTTCAGCGGGGAGGCAAGTTGGTGCTCTGTGTAGGCAGTCAGTGTTATGGTTCCGGCTAATGAAACATTTCAAAGAACTTCCAGGCATTGATTTTCCTAAAAGTCTTTTATTGTTACAAAATGTCGGCACAGGCACAACGGAGGGATGCTAGGATCTAAGTTCTCTTCCTCTGAGCAGTTAAATTATCAGCGTGTTCCCTCCCTAAATTAGCCGTCATATCTCACATTATCCAATTAGTGCGAAGGTCATAGGTTTTCTTCCTCTTTCTTTCCCGGGCTTTACCCCCATCCCCCTTCTGCTCTGTTTTAACCCCATAAATACCAGACAGTTCTGCATATTGTCAAAAGCAAGAATATACAATATTTGCAGCGTTGACATCCGCCCCCCTCCCCCCTTACAAGAAGGACAGATCCTGTAAAGTAAACAAAAGCATATGTTAAGGGTTATCTTTCGCTTTGTTGGGGCGTTTCATATGAAACCTTTTGACCAATCTGTCAGCTTTCACTTTGCTGGCTTTCACCCAGGTGGCTTCAGACAACGGGTATCCTTTCCATTGGATTAGGTACTGCAATTTCCCTGTAAAAATTCTAGAATCAAGAATACGTTTTACTTCATTGTGGGTCTGTCCCGCGACTACGAGGGGCCCAGGCGCCTTCTTCGGAGGAGGTCTTAAAGTGGAGCCCCGATAAGGCTTCAACAAGCTACAATGGAAAACTGAGTGAATTTTCCCCCCAAAGTCTAGGGAGTTTTAGTTCTACTGTAACCGGGTTGATGATCCTTACTATGGGGAAAGGCCCCAAGAATTTTGATCCCAATTTCTTGCTGGGCAATTTGAGGCGTAGATATTTAGTTGACAGTCAGATTCCTGCCCGCTAGGAACCTTCCCGGTTGCGGTGCCTGTTTGCGAGGTGGCTCCAGGGAAGGTAGCGGACCTTGGGAAACGTTGCGGGAAGATCTGCTTGTGTTTCTTTCTGGTGTGAAGCCAGTTCACCCTCCTTGGGAAGCGCACGAACGTTTCCTAGAACAGCCAGAACGGGACAACTCAAGCCGCCACGGGACAACTTGCCACGGTCAACTTGCTGCAGGACAGCTCGCTGCGGGACAGTTCAACAATTCAATTTAATTATCTAAAACAGTTAAATTGTTTTATTTTTTGTCATTCGCGTTCCATTTCGTCCCTCCCTTGGCGCCCTTTCTTTAGCGATTCTGTTCCGCCATTTCCTCGATACTAGTGTAATTCTTGTTCCGTGGCACATTGTCCTGTGGCAAGGTGGCCATGGTGAGTTCGCAGTTAGTTAGAGTGCAGTACTGCAGGCCACTTTAGCTGACTGTGTTCAGCAAGTCAGCGGTTCAAATCTCACCGGCTCAAGGTTGACTCAGCCGTCCATCCTTCCGGGGTAGGTAAAATGAGGATCCAGATTGTTGGGGGCAATGTAAAATATATATATACACATTGCTTACTGGTGTACACCGCTTAGGGCAGTGGTTCTCAACCTGTGGGTCGGGACCCCATTTGGGGTCGAACGACCATTTCACGGGGGTCGCCAAACAACGCAGTCCGCCATTTTTTTCCCCTTTTCTTTGGCCACGCCCCTGGCACCCAGTGATGTATAAGTGGTTGGGGGTCACCACAACATGGGGAACTGTATTATGGGGTCGCGGCATTAGAAAGGTTGAGAACCACTGGCTTAGAGAGTGCTTGCACTTAAAGCGGTATATAAGTCTCATAAATAAATAAATAAATAAAATAAAATTGGCTGTGGTTAATTGGCAGCCAAGCTACTATTCTGCAATTGCATTGGGGTCTCCTGGCTACTGTAACAACACCATAGGTTAATAACAACAACAAACTTCATCTCTTCAATTCTCCTAGCCCTCTGTTGCTGTTTCTCTTTCTAATAACTTGTCTTTATTAGAAAAAACACTTTATTTGGGGAGGGAAAAAAAAACATTGATTTGTAGACTTTTAGCCTTCTGAATTCAAAGGCATGTTTGCGTGGCTTATAGGCGAGAAAGCGATATCGGCTGGCCACAGGAACCCAGCTGGTGGATGCTTTGGAAGTTCACGAACAGCGGAAAAATGGGGAATTGACTGTGACTCTTGGGAAAAGTGATCCTTCCTCACTTAAAACCGTAAGTACAGTAATACTAAGATTTATTTTATTTTATTTTTAAAAAAAAGACGTATTGCATCGGTTTGGAAGAGCTCAGAATTAAGCTATGTGAAAAGATTGCTTGGATTTTGCCTCCTAGTCTAGTTACAGGTAGTCCTTGACCAGTGGTGGGATTCAAATACCTGAACAACTTGTTCTCTGCGTGGACACCACTTCCGGAAGTCCGTTCTGAATTGGGGAGGCCTCCCAGACCCAGAACGGCCCACCGGAAGTGCGTGGATGCCACTTCCATTGGGCTGTTCTGGGCCTGGAAGGCCTCCCCGGATCAGAACAGACTTCCGGAAGTGGCGTCCATGCACTTCCGGCGGTCCTTTCTGGGCCTTGCGAAAAAGGGCTAGGGCATCAGCTGATTCAACGAAGTCAACAAAAAATTAGCTACCGGTTCTATTGAACCGATGCAAACCGGCTGAATCTCACCACTGTTCTTGACTTACAACTATTCAAGTTATGACAGATTCCCCAAAGTTATGATGCCTCTCCCTGTCACTTGATTACATTTCGGGTGATTGATTGATTGATTTTTTGTGTGTGTTGCGTAACCAACCACCCATCTCCCTCAGACAGATTGTTTGTTTATTTATTTATGAAATTTATATGCTGCCCTTCTTGCTAATCCGAAGTGACCTTCGCTTCTGGTTTTTGGCAAAAATGCCCCAGAGCGAACAAGGGCTTTGCTTAATGACCATAGCATTCATTTAACAACTGCTTCAAAAAGATCATAAAATCGGGTCTCTTATGTGGATGACCCCTTTATAGCCATCGTGACTTACTAAGGTAATGAGCAGGCTCCGGTACAGTGGTAAATTGAAGACTACAGATAGTTCTCCACTTACAACAATTTGTTTAGTGACCGCTCAAAGTTACACTACCAAAGGTGACTTTTCACACTTAACAACCGTTGCAGCATCCCCATGGTGTCTGACCAAAATTTCAGATGCTTGGCAAATGACTCAGATTTATGACGTTCACACTGTCCCAGCGGTCATGTAATCATTTTTTTGCGACCTTATGGGAAGCAAAGTCAATGGGGAAGCTAGATTCACTTAACATCCCGGTCACTAACTTAAGAATTGCAGTGATTCACAACTATGGTAAGAGAAGTCATAAAATGGGGCAAAATTCACTTAACCACTGTCTTGTTTAGCAACAGAAATTTTGGACTGTATTGTGGTCCTTAGTCAAGGACTATCTGTAGTGCTTTAAAACCGAGATGCGCTTTTGGCTGTGTTCAGCCTGGCATACTTTACAGACATTCTGGCTGAAATTTTATGCTTTCTGTTTTCTTCTCCCTACTCTCTTGTTTCTGTTTCTCTGAGTCAGATATTTGTACTTTCCTTCATCTCTTATCTTTTTTGAAAGTATGGAAAGGTTTTCACAAATTGAGCCTGGAGCAGCTCCTATTGCTACCCTCCTTCCCCCCCCCCAAACTGGCTCAGTGCTACCTGTCAGAATTTGAGATGTACACCTCTAGAATGAAGGGGGCCTCTGAGATTCAAATGGTCTGACTCTGTCACGATAATGATTTAAAAGCTAACCAGCTGATGTAAGATGTTGCAATGATGGGAATGACTCAGCAGGGTCTGTGTCCCTTTAAGAGCCTGAGTATAAAAGGGAGGCTTTGCGCTGGAGTCTCTCTCTCTCTCTCTCTCTCTCTCTCTCTCTCTCTCTCTCTCTCTCTCTCTCTCTCGTTTCCTGCTGTAACTGTAGATCTGCTGTATTACCACATGTATGTTTTTTCTGGGTGTATGATATTGTAGATAGTGTAAGATAAACCACCATTTCATATAGACCACTGTTTACTATGCTTACTCCTGGGTTACCTTGCACAATAAGACTGTGCACGCTCCGACAGACTCTACTAGTCCACGTAGTCCTTGACTTATGACTGGTCACTTAGCAACTGTTTGAAATTACAATGGACCTACCTTTGGGGTTCCCATTGCATGGATTTGAAGATCCAGAGGTCAGCCCCCCCTCCCCCCTGTGGTGACATGGCTGAAGTCCAGGCTTGGCCTGGTGGCTGCATTTACAGTTGTGTACACCATCCTGCACTCACATGACCGTATTTTACGACGGTCTTGATGAAAACTGGCATTTTTGCTTTGGGGCCTTTGATTCGCTTAATGACCTTGACATTTGCTTAGTGACTCCAGCATTCACTTAACGACCGTAGTGTTTGCTTATTCATCACTGCAAAAGAGCCCTAAGATCCTTTACGACCATTACAACTTACGAATCTGTATTTTAAAAGGACTACCTGTATTTTAAAACAGGGGTCCCCAACCCCTGGTCCGTGGACCAGTACCGGGCCATGGCATGCCAGCAACCGGTCCGCACAAACAAGGAAAGCCCCATCCACAGAATGCAGGCAGTACACAAAACCATGCACCAAATGAAATTCAAAATGAAATTCAATGGTGAAAAAAGCAAGGTTCTACATTTAGGCAAGAAAAAACAAATGCACAGCATAGGTGGCACCATGCTCAATAGTAGCAACTGTGAGAGGGACCTCGGAGTCCTAGTAGACAATCACCTAAATATGAGCCAGCAGTGTGCTGCAGCTGCCAAAAAGGCCAACACAGTGCTAGGCTGCATTAACAGAGGGATAGAATCAAGATCACGTGAAGTATTAATGCCACTCTGCAATGCCTTGGTAAGGGCACACTTGGAATACTGCATCCAGTTTTGGTCACCACGATCTAAAAAAGATGTTGAGACTCTAGAAAGAGTACAGAGAAGAGCAACAAAGATGATTAGGGGACTGGAGGCTGAAACATATAAGGAACGGTTGCTAGAATTGGGTATGTCTAGTTTAATGAAGAGAAGGACAAGGGGGGGACATGATAGCAGTATTCCAATATCTCAGGGGCTGCCATAAAGAAGAGGGAATTAAGCTATTTTCCAAAGCGCCTGAAGGCAGGACAAGAAGCAACGGATGGAAACTAATCAAGGAGAGAAGCAACCTAGAACTAAGGAGAAACTTCCTGACAGTGAGAACAATTAATCAGTGGAACAACCTGCCTTCAGAAGCGGTGAATGCTCCAACACTGGAAGTTTTTAAGAAGAGACTGGACAGCCATTTATCCGAAATGGTGTAGGGTTTCCTGCCTGAGCAGGGGATTGGACTAGATGACCTCCAAGGTCCCTTCCAACTTTACTATTATTATTATTATGTCCACGGAAAAACCTCTCTCCCTGGTGCCCCAAAGGTTGGGGACCTCTGTTTTAAAAGGCCCTGAACACTTGGCTCTTCACCCAGACTTTTAGTATGGATGACTGACCTCCCCCCTTCCCCCCCCCTTTTCCTTGTAAAACCATCCAGAGTCACTGGATGTCAGGTGATGCAATTGTTAACTTGGATCTGAACATATACTACTATGCTGATATATTACATCTTCTTAGGAGGTTCTTGGACAGAACTTGATGTGTATGAAGGCCTTCATCAGCTAAAGAACAGGCAGCTGTGATTTCATATTTTTGTACTCCTTATAACAATATGTCCCTAAAATGCTACCATCTAAGGAGAAAAGAAAGATGTTAAAATATCTTAAGCTCAAGGAATGGACAGCAATTGTAGAGATACGTTTCTGCCTGCGGAATTAATCAGGCCACTTATTGTTTATGTGTTTTTTTTAAAAAAATCTTCAAGATTTCTTTTGCCATAGTTAACAGTGGCACCCCTAGAAGAAATTAGGTAGCAATTTCTTAGAAAGTTACGTTTTGGGGTCTTGAGGTTTTATATGGCAATGTTTTTCAAACTTGGCAATTTTAAGATACGCAGATTCAATTCTCCACTGGGGAATTCTGGGAGTTGAAGTCCACGTGTTTTCAAGTTGCCAAGTTTGAAAAGCATTTTTTTTTTCCTCTTCCTAGGGCACTTCAGGATGGCAAAATGCCTGGGCAATTTTGGATAACAGTTTACAAGCTGTTTTACAGAAGCAGTTAGAAATCCATTCCGCCAAGCAACAGAGCCTCAGAAACATTAAGAAACAGTCTGAAGATCAGCCACAAAGTTATTAGAAAAAAAAAACAACAACTCCAGCCATGAGCAAAAAAGTGTAATTCAAGAGAATCAGACTCCAGGGGTTACAAAGGTCACGGATTGGAACCCCAGAGTAGCTAATTCAGACCCAAATGCTGTTGGTTTTTTTGCATGCATTGGCTCTGCTTCTTTAATGTTTTTGCTTTTTGAGACGCTCTTAGACTCAGCTGTTAATCCTTGGAGATTAACCAAAAAAGGACTGTTTGTGTGTGCGAATAAACCCATTAATCCCTAGTAAAGTTTTCCAGCAATTTGGTGACCCTAGACCTACTTAACCATTCCATCTTAATCTTTTTGAGGTTTTGTTCAGGGTCAGGCTGGGAATCAGAAGCCCTGTCCCCTCAATGGTTCAGATCTTCTTGACATTGTGTCTCCCGAGGACTTGGGCCTTTGGGATGGCGGTCTAATTCATCCACTGGAAGGTCTAAGACAGTGATGGTGAACCTTTTAGAGCAGTGGTTCTCAACCTTTTTAATGCCGCGACCCCCAACCGATCATAAGCCGAGGACTACTCAACCGGTCATAAGTCGAGGGCTACTCAACTGGTGCAGCACCCTTTGCAGAATGGGACTTTTGGCGGGCTCAGCAGGGCAGAGACAGCCTGGACAATTCCTATTGGCTTTTGAAAGCCAATAGAATTAGACTCTATTCAAGAGAGTCTATTCTATTGGCTTTCAAAAGCCAATAGAATAAAAGGGAGTAGCACAGCTAAGGAAAAGGGGGGGAAAATGGCGGACTGTGTTGTTTGGCGACCCCCGTGAAATAGTTGTTCGACCCCAAAGGGGGTCCCGACCCACAGGTTGAGAACCACTGTTTTAGAGACCCAAGTGCCCCAAAACTGTCCCGCCCCCAGCCCACCCCCGCTCCACTCCCTGCCCCGCCCACTCCACCCCTGCTCTGCCCCGCCCCCCACCCGC